ACGTTAATCCTCTGTGCCATTTAGGATGTATGCGTGTGTTTGTGTGAGTGGGGTGATAACTTTTTCTCACAGAGCAACTTAGTACTGTGTGTGTGTGCATGTGTGTGTTGCAGGCCCAGCACTGTGCTCAGAAGATGAGGCAAGATTAGTAAAGTCTCTGTTTACTGGATATAACAAGGTTGTTCGTCCTGTTAGCCATTTTAAGGATCCAGTGGTGGTTACTGTGGGACTACAACTCATTCAGCTCATCAGCGTGGTAAATTATATCTCTGTTCATTTCTATTTCTTGATATCAGATTCATGTTTTATCCATAGCCTATGTTAAAAAAGGTTTACATTGCACAAATAAACTTTTTGTTTTCTCTTGCCTTCCATTATCTTTCCTTTCTTTCTTATTTACAGGATGAAGTTAATCAGATTGTCAACAGTAATGTACGGCTAAAGCAGGTGCGGGTTTCAGCTGCTGTTTCATTTCCTGTGTGCTGCTATAAGTAGATATCAAGGTGTTTGCTGTGGGAAAATGTATCTATATGTACAAAAACTTTGATTTAGGCAGTGTTTACAACACATAGATTTGGTACTTTTAACAAAAAAATTTTTAATGTGCCACATGAAACCTATCAAGAATTGTTGAGGTCACATTTCAACTTATAAGGAAAAGTAAGAAAAAATTTTTTTTTTAAAAATGACATCTTTATGTAAATTTAATGTTTTAATGGATCTGCCTTTCTTATTATTGTTATGATGATTCTGATTACATTTTGCAGTAATTTTGTTTATTAATTTTAATGAATTAAAGGCAGTTCAAGAAATGCTGCTGTACTGCATAAATCTTTCAAAATTCAAATTTTACATGACAGTACCTACTTGGAGCAGTCAGGAGTCATTAATACAGATATCTTTTTCTCCTTATCTGATGTTCAGCAATGGAAAGATGTGAATCTGAAGTGGAATCCTGATGACTACGGTGGCATCAGGAAGATCAGAATTCCCTCCACTGACATCTGGAAACCGGATTTAGTGCTTTATAACAAGTATGAGTTACTTTGTCCAGAACTTTCACTCTTTGCACCTGTACAATAGTGTGAATCCATCATGTAATATTACTGTACTTAAAAATACATATACCTGCTCTGATATCTTTCATTATTTGTGTATGTGTTTGTGCAGTGCTGATGGAGACTTTGCCATCGTCCATGAGACAAAGGTCTTGTTGGAGCACACGGGTATGATAACATGGACTCCTCCAGCAATCTTTAGGAGTTACTGTGAGATCGTGGTCCTTCACTTTCCCTTCGACCTGCAAAACTGCAGCATGAAAATTGGAACGTGGACCTATGATGGCAACCTTGTCATTGTCAACCCAGTAACTATATCACCACACATGATCACCAGGATGCATGAATATTTGTACATTACTTATTGTATATATTTGTATGAACTAGTTTATTCATACATTTTTTTGTGCTTGTGTAGGACAGTGACAGACCGGACCTAAGTAATTTCATGGAGAGCGGAGAGTGGGTGATGAAGGATTACAGGAGTTGGAAACACTGGGTGTATTACGCTTGCTGTCCAGATACACCCTACCTTGATATCACTTATCACTTCCTCCTGCTCCGCCTCCCACTTTATTTCATCGTGAACGTCATCATTCCCTGCATGCTGTTCTCCTTCCTCACTGGGCTTGTGTTCTACCTGCCCACAGACTCTGGTAACCCTGTGTTTTATTGTACTGTATGTAGGGGTATGCGGTATGAACCAAATCTTATATCATAGTGCATTTTTGTTTTATATCATGGTAACTAATTATTTTTGTTGGAAACGTTCTGGTAATATATTTAAATATATTAAAAATCATGGGGCAATGCCTAAGTACTTGATCACAATCTGATTATTTATTTATTTTTATTTGGAGCTTGATGGACATTTTAAACTTTTCTTGATTCTGTCTAGGTGAGAAGATGACCCTCAGCATCTCTGTCCTGCTCTCTCTGACTGTGTTCTTGCTGGTGATTGTTGAGTTGATCCCCTCCACCTCCAGTGCTGTTCCACTCATCGGCAAATACATGCTCTTCACTATGATCTTTGTCATTGCTTCCATCATCATCACTGTGATTGTCATCAATACACACCACCGCTCCCCCAGCACACACACCATGCCCGCTTGGGTCCGCAAGGTACGTATGGAAAAGAGTAGCTTCTCCTTTTGTGTTCTGTGTTCAAGTATGTTTGTGTTAGCATGCTTCTTTTAAACTATAAATAAGAGAGTATACTTTCAGTCTTAGCAAAAATTGTTTAAGATAGAAATATAATTAGATATATAGATATATAATTAAGTATTCTAAGTATGCTTGGCTTGTAGTTGGGATAAAGTATCCTGGTAAATCCTTTTTTTCCCACACATACTGGCTTTCAGAATATGTTTATGTCTGATAAACTGACATATTCAAATTTATAGTTACAAGTCAGCTTTGAAGTGGAATAGCTGCGTAAATATACATGGGTGGAACGGAACCTGATCTTTTTTACACTGCAGTATTGACCAAATTAAGCAAATAAACATTTGGTTGATTTTATTGACAATTCTTTCATGGTGTGAGAGTGAGAGTAACAGACCTAATGTTTTAGCATGTTTTATGTTTCACTCACTGAAATGCAAATCAATTTCTAACCTTTATATAATGTGTTTTTTCTGGATTTTTGGGTTGGTATTCTGTCTCTATACGTTAAAATAAACCTAGCATAAACATTACAGACCCTTCATTTCTTTGTAAGTGGGCAAATCAGCAGGGGATCAAATAAATATTTTCCCCACTGTAAAATATATTAATATATATATATATAAATATATAGTAAACATAATAAACAAATATATAAATAGTAAAAAAGTATATTACAGTAAGTTCCCTTGAAATCTTAGAAGTATTTTAGTATAAAAACTATTACACTAGTAGTTTACTAAAAAAGGAGGATGGAAGCATGTAACTAGTAAACTGTATATCAGCAGTATATCTATACTTTCACAGACAGTGTATTTGGAATACAAAAGAAACACGTTAACTAGATGTGTTCTCAGTTTACTACTGTTACACCTAAAGTACACTTAAAAATGTAACTTTATAAACTAAAACAGGCCAGTTTACACCCAAGAAGTATTGAAATAGTACACTTACAAGTATACTACTAGTACATTTATTTTAGTGTACTTAGTTGGAAAATATACTTGAACTTCTCTTAAGTTTACTTAATAAAATTAACATTTTAGTAAGGGCGGATGATTTCTTCCACAGCATTTTAGACACTTATTTTTTACCTTGAAAAATTGTACAACTCGATTAACAAAGGTACTTTTTTTTTGGAAGTTTACATAGTTACATTCAAAATCCAGATTTTCCAGCCATGGGAATCATTATTTTTGCAGTCCTGTCTGGACTGCTAGTGCAACACATACTTTATTTATTTATTTAGGCTTTTTTTTTTTTTTTTTGGTTTTTACTCGTTTCTAAACTTTACATATATTTGGGGGTATTTTTTGTTTACTTTGTGCTATCCTGTTGAGATTCTGATCAGAGATGTATGACTTTGACTTTCTCCACTGTCCCACAGATCTTCATAGACACCATTCCAAACCTGATGTTTTTCTCCACTATGAAGCGGCCATCCCAGGAACGACAGGAAAAGCATCTCTTTCCTGCAGATTTTGACATCTCTGACATTTCAGGGAAACCCATGCCCGCTTCAGTCACTTACCACTCTCCCATAACCAAAAATCCTGATGTACGTAATGCCATCGAGGGTGTTAAATACATCGCAGACACCATGAAAAGCGACGAGGAGTCCAACAATGTGAGAACATTCACCTGCATCATTTTTTGTTATTTCTGAAACTTTTGCATCTCTTTGAAAATAAGTTTAGGAGTTTTGTTTTACTCTATATTCCTTTTCTACCTTCATCTGACTACTTGAGTCTTTCCTTCTGTCTGTTCATCTAGGCCGCAGAGGAATGGAAATTTGTCGCTATGGTCCTGGATCACATTCTTCTATGTGTGTTTATGGCTGTGTGTATTATTGGTACACTAGGAGTGTTTGCCGGACGCCTGATCGAGCTCAGCATGCTGTGAGAGCTCAAAGGCCCGAATGAAGCCATGGTGCCTTGACTCTCTGCTGAGCTGTAGCAAAGAGGCAAAGATGCCCGATCAGACCAGATGTTAATGGAACAGTGAGCTTATTCAACAACTGGAAAATAAAACATACACACTGTTTGTTTCTCTTCATTTAAAGTATTTCTGTTAATACAGTTGCTCGCTCCTAACCTCAGAATTCTGTGTGCATATGTATACACAGAACTTAAACAGAATTAAGCACAGAAGCAGAGAAATATGAGAAAGGCATTTATTGTGGCATTTATTTTACATAGGAGTATATTATATTTTATTCAGTTTGTTTGATTTGTTTTCATTTTTCTTGGTCTGTGTGTTCAATGGTAACCAATGTACTTGAATTGTTAGATATTTAAAGAGAAAAGAATTTCTCTTACATTTCATTTCTCTGACATATGCCACTGTGTATTTGGTCAAATATATTATTATACATATATACGTATTTAATGGTTAATTTAAGTTTATTTTTAGTTTAAACATGCTTTTTGATGAAGCATATAGGCCTGACTGAAAAATGTAACATTTGTCTTGTAATACATAATAAATATTGGTAATATCACAGTGTTTGGGCTCTCTCTCTCTTTCATAATTGCTTTTATGCCTAAAAATTAGTTTGGCTTTAGTGGTTCAGCAAATGTTTTATGTTCCAGGCATTTTTGCAGACTTTTTTCTCTCTCTCTATGACCAGACATTTGTGAACTATAAGTGAATCACTTCGAAGATCTTTTACATGTTCCATACATTCACACAGCGCTAAGCTTTTCTGTCACACATTGTGTGCAGAGTTTGACAGATGTTTGAGCTCAGCTCTAGGCGGTCGCACACATCTGGAAACGTTGCATCACAGACGAATGTCCCGGATAAAGGGAACGAAGTGTCTAGTGTAGTGGAGGAAGAAAAACTGGGTAAAGAAATGCATTAGAAGATATCACGTCTTATTCAAAGCATTGAGCTGTACTTCCCTCATTTAAAGAGATGTGATACTGCTGAGACGTACTGAATTCTTGCATGCACTGTTAAAGCGATACGATTTGAATGTTATTCCTGTGAATGTGATGGGTTGTAGGCAGCACGCGCTGGGCGGAAACAGTGGGGAGAAGTTATGTATGTGTGTGTGCGTTTTCTGCCATGAAGGAGTGGCTCAAAACTTGTGTTCCTCTGTGTTTGTGTAGATGCTTCATGATGATGATCGTTGCTGCATTTGGTTCGTAAGCGCAGGACGCAGAGAAAAAGACGCAAACCACCGGTAAGTGTTTACGTAGCATGGTGCTTTCTAAAATGCACGACTCCAGGATCTAATTTGTGACTCGATTTCCTGTGATTTATTTATTGCCGCAAACTTGTAAGTATTATGTGAGTTAATTGTTGTTTGGATAAAGTGTTATGTTTAAATCTACGTTTTCATCCACAAAAGAGCAAACGGTGCCAACTTTTAGGGGAAGCAGAGGCTCCCCCACTTCCTGGGTTGCCAGTTTGAGCGTGAATATGTGGCAGGGTGAATAAGTTCAAGTTGTTTTTCTGTAGTTTAGAAACGCAACAAATCTTAAGCGGTTTTTTTTTCCTGGCAGCTAAATCAAACTACTTATTACCGTTGTCATGTCACAGTTGTTTAAGTCAGCTGTAGGCAAGTAGCAAGTGATTTCTGATTAATGAATGAATCATTCTTTGAGTCGGATCTTTTCATCATTTCATACAACCGAGAACTGAATCGGCTCTAGCGTTTATCGAGTCAGTCAAATACAACGGCTCATTAAACCAATTTATTATCAAAAGGACATGATAATACGAGCATTATTCGGAGTGAACCGAGTATATGTAAATTAATTTTTCAAGTTGTTTTTCTGTAGTTTAGAAACGCAACAAATCTTAAGCGTTTTTTTTCCCCCTGGCAGCTAAATCAAACTACTTATTACCGTTGTCATGTCACAGTTGTTTAAGTCAGCTGTAGGCAAGTAGCAAGTGATTTCTGATTAATGAATGAATCATTCTTTGAGTCGGATCTTTTCATCATTTCATACAACCGAGAACTGAATCGGCTCTAGCGTTTATCGAGTCAGTCAAATACAACGGCTCATTAAACCAATTTATTATCAAAAGGACATGATAATACGAGCATTATTCGGAGTGAACCGAGTATATGTAAATTAATTTTAGGATTGTGTAATGTCAATGCAAATTGTATTAAGTATAAATTACTTCTGTGAGCTGAATCATGGCTGACATTCTTATTTAAAAAACATAATCGAAATTAGCAATAAAACATATACATAAAGAGCAATAAATGTGGCTTTCTAGAGACCACCCGATGGCGCAGTTAAGGTATTACATAAAATAATTGATGAATCTGTTTTAACAGCTTTTTTAAAAAATGAACTGTTCAAAAGAACCGATTCGTGGAAATGAGTCGGATTAGTATGAGCATGTGGTTCTAATTGACCGGCCATGGGGTTTCCACAGTGATATACAATGCAAGTCATATGCTTTCCACTTCCTTTTTTCTTTCAGTTTTTAAACTTTTTTTTATTGTGAATTGAAGACCACATTATTTTGAGCTTTCAGTGTCACAAGTTATTTCAAACACAGTATCATTGTTTTGCTCTGTTCATTCCTCTTAAATGGGTTACCTTAAAGCACATTGTTTGTGTGTTAGTTGTCTTGAAATTGTATGGAAAATGCAAATCTGCTTTCTTGCATTAAAGAGTTTTATGAGACTGCTTATGTCAATGCCAAGTCCTCTTGATTTTTCATGTGGTTTTTACCAAGTGTGACACTATTAAGCAACTGTTTTTTTTTAATCACAGTGAGCTGTTGAGACTGAATATAGGCGTGCAGTTTTTAGTGAGAACTTAAGAAGGAACAAGTATTTTAGGCTGCATAAGTCATACAAATAGAGTTCTCTCTCTGCATTAACTTCCTCTCGGCGACAGAAGTACTGTCATAACTTCTACTTCTCTCTTGTCTGGTTTAGTGTTCTATTTGACCAGCGATTCGAAGCGAGTCAGAAATCATGTGACGGGATCTGAGATCATCCATTAGATACAAGCTTGCATGTAGCCAGAGGTGTCAACATTATGCTGAGTTTCAGAAAGGAAGTGGACAATAAAGACTGCCTGCAAAGTGATGGAAAGACAGAGGCACATTATTTGCTCAAGCATGCTCACATTATGCAAGCTGAGCACTTGTAAGCCACTTTTTTGCTTGTGATGTGGTATTATAAGCAAGCATTGCAAAGCGCAATTGACAAAAATCCTGCTTTACAACTTGACATGACACTTTTAAATAAGGCCCTTCCTGCCTGATTTTGCATGTATGATGTAGCAGGTTGTGGCTGAAGGGCTCCACCCATTTTTCATTTTTTGTGTTAACATTATTTAGTGAGAGCTGGATATATTTAACTTTTCATTGTTGACATTGGCCTTACATTTGGATTCCATAAATTCTGGGTCTTTGGTTACATCTCAATAGAGTGCAGTGGTGCCCGTCCACTTTTTCAGTGGCGTTGTTTCTGAAAGTGTATTTTTTCCATACATTTTTCCCATAGATATTCTTAAAAAGTCTTCATTAAAGCGTTTTAAGCCATGACTTAAACCAAGCAGCAATGAGGTGAATCACAACATTGCAAACTTTGATTTGAAGCAAAAGTGTACTTGAAAATATGACTAACAGTCAAAAGTACAAGACTGTGTAATTAATGGCATTAAAAGGGAACAAATGACATAATACAAATAATGACAATCCAATTAAAAACAACAGATACATATAAAAATGTTGATTTAAAGATGTTGATAGTGTATATAAATACAACATAGTTATACTAGGTATAGCATTCTTTTGGCTTGATTTGCTTGTTTTGATTCTTTGACTGGTGGAGATTTCTTGCAAAATCTTTGATAGCATAGTTTCTCACCAGGATTTCATCTGTTAACACAATTACTGTTATATAGGTTAAATATATAAGTACTGACAGCTTCAACAAAACTATATACCATTGATTATCAGCCACATAGCTCACAGTAGTTCTGTGGAAAAAATGCATGAGATTTTTACTTCTGGAACCTGACTGTTGCACCAGTTGTTCAATCATGATGTAAATAATTGGAGCTACCTGGAAGGCTAATTTGGGATTTTCCGATGGGTTTTTAGAATAGCATTTTCATTTGTTCTACAATATAAATTACACACATACATCAAATGTGAAAGTTGCAAGTTTCACTTACTATTTAGAACACATATCGGGATGCAGGTAGGCCTGTCGCAATAATCAATATATCGACTTATCGCGCAATATATGTACATGACCTCAATCATTTTTGGTGACGCAATATATCGCCCATTATATTTACTTAAAATGCAGGGTTGACTGTCTTGACTTCTACAGAGGTGAAATGCATTATGTGCTTGTAGACACTGGCACACTTAAACACACACTTGGCATAGAGTAATTCCAAAAAGAACACAATGTCCAGCCAAAGTCCCTGTTTTAGACATGATGACATTTCAGACTGCTGGATGTAAAGCACCGTCTGGACAGGGCAGCTGTAGAGTGTATATCCAGCATCACATTCTCCATAGTCCATCTCCACTGTTCTCTCTCAAGACACTGGAATGTAAATATAGTCCATATCCAGGAACTTTTACTGTGCACCACTTCTCTTGTGTCTTCTTCACTTTATGCTCCTTTCTTCTCCTCTCACACCCCTTCTTCTTGTTTCTTCTCCACTTCTCTGTCATTCCCACTTTTTTGTGCTAATCATCACCTCTTGGAAATCATAAAAGTGAGGTAATTTTTGCACTACTAGCATCACCAAACAGAACTGCAAAAATGAATAGGTGTGTAGCACAGACTGCTTGAAGCAGACTTGACTTGAAGCAGTGCATTTTGGTTTGAACACCTCTGTCGTTGGTTCAACGTTTGTTCGACAAAATTAGACATCGTTAATAACATAACCCACAGTTGTTGGAGTAATTGCTTCTGCTAATTAATAATCTGATATCACAATACATGTCAGAATGTTACAGATCATTTAAACATACAACAAGAAGCCAATCGTTTTTATTATCACATTAACATAGAATTATGTATGGAATTGGTGTGCACTCTTACTTAGATGCGGTTCATCGAGTCAACAGCTTTCTCTGCAACATAATTCTCTCAGATGCTGTTGTATCAAACATGGCATCTGAGGTCTATTTCACTATTTTTGTTCGCAGTCTGTTTGCCTTTTGTGAATATTCATTGAAACTATGGTTTTGGGAACCGTCAAATTGTTGAACTATGTTGTAACGACAGATCTTGTGACCATTGTTGGCTAACAATGCTTTTGGGAAATGCACCCCTGGTTGGGATGCTCAAAACAGAGCAACATTTTTAAGTGCCACACACAGTATTTACACTAGTTTTCTAGATGTTAAGTTGCAATAGGAGGACTCATTTTAACATCACTTCACTTTTAAAATACTTAATCAGCATGGCTCATGAATATTAAATAGGCGATGTAACATTCAACCCTGTCCTAACTAATTTTCTTAATGATAGTTAAATAAACTTTTACTGCCAATGGAACCAATTGGCAAAGGCTCCAGCTTGGTTGTTTTACATGGCCTTTTTTCTCTTCACACCACAGCTATGCAAAATGAAGCTTTTAAAATGCAGTGATGATTTCCCCCAAAAAAGTTGTGAATATTTCAAAAAATGGTTTATGAAGTTATTATTACCCCTTATAACGTTTGCCAAACTGACCGGATGTCCGCTTACCTCTGAATAAAAATACCTGAGAGAGTGAAAGAAAGAGCGAGAAATGAAGCAGTGTGATGTGGCTGTCTGTAAGAGAGCTTGATGATGAAAGAGCAGACGATTTAAAGAGCTTGTAAACTGTGTTTCCGTGTATTTGTGTGTTGACTTGTTTTCTTCGAGTCTCATCTGTGTTCCCACTTGTGGTTTTAAACCTTTTGTTGTTTCTTTGTCACCTTTGTCTGGATGATATTAACGCATGTGGATGTGTGTTTATGAAAGAGAGAATAAGAAGTGAGAGGTATATTGCTGTAGCGCTTCCTGTTTATGATCTCTTCCGGATGTCAGCAGTGAGAGAGGCCTTTATAAAACTTGAACTAAGAGAAAAATAAAGCTTGTAATTGTTGGCATTGCTGTATTATGAGTGTGTGAGGGAATATTATAAAAACAGTAGTCTATTACAGTCAGCTTTCTATATCTCAGAAATGACCTTTTTTTGTTACGGCCTTTCCCACATGTCATTGCATGCACAATAAGGTATCTTGGTATATAGCACAATAGGATATTTCAAGAATCGATACTTACTGTCAAACCCATTCAAAACTTTGCGGCTGTGCGAGACCACTTTAGTATGGTCATGTGGTGTGGGTAGATTATTACCTGTGATTGAGTGAATGCATCAGGCCTGTTTTTCTTTAAACCTGAAAAGTGTGATGTTGTTTCAGATGGTGCTATTCATGCTACAGTTGGGTTTCCTTTTAGTGGTGTTCAAGCACCACTACTATTATTACAAGGACAAAGATAATGGGCTCAATGACAATTAAATGATACAATCCATGATAAAAAAAGAAGGGTCTTTTTCAAATATAGTTTAAAACACCAGTGCCAAATGTCTTAGAAATGTACACTTTGTATTCATGTTGGTTTCGTATGGTTTTGAAAAACCTTTATCATTTTTAAAAGTTTAAATTTGAAAGTTTAAATTGAGTAACTCTAAAATTGCTGTGTGATGTAACTGTCAAGTAATAAACATATTTTCCTCACACTTACAATACATGTATGTGTATGAATCTTAATAATGGATTAATGGATATGAGCAGCAGTGTAATGAAACTCCTGCCACGCAGTCAAACGCTCATGTGATGCAACGTCACATTATAGGCTACATGTGTGGTGTGCTTGAGCAATGAATACCTCTGAGGCTTTTTTCAAGGTGCAACATAAATAAAATTTTTTTTAAATGTAAATATATTTTTGAAAGTAATTTTTTTTGAACATCACAAATTATTAATAATTAATTGGTAGATAAATGTTTACAAATATTAATAAGCAGTGAATTTGTTTTGTTAAAATATTATGTTTTTCTAAGAAATTATAAAAGATTATGCCAAAGGTTTTCAAGAATTATATTTGTTTTAATAATAATTTTCTCTTTTTTCTTCTTCTTTTTTTTTTGCAAGTAACCATTCAGAACTCCCTAGCAACTGCATAACAGCACTCTGGAAACCACTCAATGTTGTGGCAACAAGTAACACAATTTCTTTTGAAAATATAAAATATATAAATTTTCTTTCTGTTTGTCAGGTCTCAGTGAGAGGAGGTGACAACAAGGAGAAAAAATGCCGGTACCTCCTCCGCCTCCCCCTCCCCCACCCCCCACCTTCTCTCAGGTACACACACTAAATACACTACACAACTTTAGAGAGAAAAACTGGGCATCATACATTAAATGATCTCACACAGAAACGAGCACCTTGTTGCTATGAGAGGCGTGACAAATTAAAACAATGTGTGTTCTAAAATCGGCTCAAAATATCGAGCATGTTATATATGGATGGACTGGATGAAATAATAGTCTGAAGCTAAAAAACCTGGAGACTGGGCCATCATACACTATGTGATATTCTGTCAAATCTATTAACTTGACTGCCCAAAATCTTCAAACTGGCTTTGACTTTTGCCAACTGTTGTCGACTGTTCTAGACTGCAAATTGGGGCAAAAACCTAGGCAAAAGTCACATAGTTTATTCCAGTCTTAAGTGGTAAAGCAATGGGGCATCAGTGCTTTAATGATTTCTACAGAAAATATCTGTGCTTCTCTTTCTCACAGGCAAACACTGAGAAGCCTGTCTTGAATAAATCGGAGCAGCAGGGCAGGAATGCTCTACTGTCGGACATCGGCAAAGGAGCAAGGCTAAAGAAGGCGGTTACTAATGACCGTAGCGCCCCCATACTTGACCGTAAGAACCAGCACCTTATGGAGTTATACTGGCTATGTTTGTCTATGCACCAAAACAGTCACAATTTAATTATATGGGACACATATATTTAAACAGGTTTTCTTTTATGCTACTATACTTTCGAAACTCCTCTGTGTTTGTGATTTTTGCATGTAAAATAAGTATGTTTTAAAATAAGTACATGTTTGTTTTGACAGAACCCAAAGGTGGTGGTGGAGGTGGAGGTGGAGGAGGAGGCGGGCCTGGAGGAGGAGGAGGAGGGGGAGGGTTTGGAGGTGGAGGTGGAGGTGGAGCTCCAGCTGGTCTGGGTGGGCTCTTCCAGGGTGGCATGCCAAAGCTGCGCTCCACTCGAGATGGTAAGAACGCACACATGTATGTCAAACATACTACTAAAGCTTGCTACATACTACTACTGTTTACTGAGACATTCCAACTCATTCATTCAACAGGGATTTATGAGATATATAGAAATTTTGGCCAATCCCAATGATGGACCTTATGTATTCAATCATAAAATATAATATTTAGTTTAGAAAACTGAGAAATTATTTAAATAAAGACCTTGCATTTGTTGGATTATCTCTTTATATTAGATTATTTGCTCTCTTTCAGACTCTAGTAGTGTCAGACCTCCAGTTCTGCCACCTGGTGCTCGTAGCTCTGGTCCACGGCCCTTCGGAGGAGGATCTGGCCCCGTCCCTCGTCTACCTCTGCAACGCAGTGAATCCGTTGACCCCCCTCGCCCTCGAATGACCCCACCGCGTCCTGAAACACCTGGAGGACCTCCTCCACCTCTTCCAAGTGCCCCACGGCCCTTTCAGAGTGGGGCACAGAGCAGGGGACCACCCTCACTTCCAGGGACTCCTCGTCTTGGTTCCGCACCAACTCCTCCACCTCCAAACCCTCCTGGACGACAGCCCGCACCTCCACCGGTGCCAGCTGCATTTGGTCGTCCTCCTTCCATTCCTTCGCCCTCAGCTGGTCATGCTGGGCGGCCTCCTCCTCCCCCTGCACCTGGTCGAGGTGATGACCGTCCTCCACCTGTTCCCCCTGCAAACCGTTCTTCTTTGCCACTCACTCGGGACAGCCCGCCCCCTCCACCTCCACCATCAGTGAGCAGTAAACCAACTCCTCCTCCAGCTCCTGCTCCTGCCTCTCTGCGGCCACCTGTTAGTGCAGCACCTCCTCTGCCGCCCGGACGCCCAAGCCCGTCTACTCCTGAGGAGCATACGCCACGTCTTCCTGAACGGAACCTGTCACTTGGCTCGCATCCTCCTGCCCCTCCACCCGGGCGATCTGGACCCCTTCCTCCACCTCCCTCTGAGAGACCGCCCGCATTGGGCCGGAATGCAGGTGGACGAACAGGTAGAGGAAGAGTTGCAGGTTCTTGCAGGATAATCTGAAATTCACCTTTTTGAACATTTATATTATGTCTTTGTCTTTTTGTCCACAGGTCCTCTTCTACCTCCACCTCCTTCTGGCCGTCCTGGAGGAGGAAGTGTGAGGTCATCACTAGCCCCTCCTCCACCGAACAGACCAGGTGTGGAGCCTCATCGTGCTGGCAGTAGACCACCACTCCCCCCAGACAGGCCCTCCTCTGGACCTCTGCTCCCTCCTCCCCCACCTATGGGCAACGGATACCACAATCAGGGACATCATATAGGTATTGTGACTTTCCTATACGCTTGTTCAAGAGACTTGTAGAGTTTACGAAGAATTTGATTAAATTACATTTTAAAATACTCGTAATCAGACTACAGTTACTTTTTTATTGATTACATGATTATATATTATTCATACAATGGCAATAAATTATTCATAAGTTATTGATTCTCCCTAATTCCTCTTTTTTATCTTTTAAAAGTTCCTTTATAAAATAGCCTACCACTTATATACATTCAGAAAGTCTTCCAGTTTTGTGGACATTCACACAAAGAATGCACAATTTTAAAATGCACAAATTCACATTATTTCTTATTTACATGTAATGCAGGCATTCCCAAACTTTTTTTTTGTCATCTGAACATCTTTCACCTAATATATTTACTTGAAGTACCATGAGATTTTAAAACAAATATTAAAAAAATTAAGTATCACATTTGCATGTTCATGGTTCTCTGCTGGTTAATGGTCTCATGACATGCAGGTAAACAAATAAAATATTTCATTTTTTTTAGTGTTTTATTTTGATTGATGTTATTTTAAAATTACTTATTTTAATTTGACATTTTAATGATTTAATTAATTATTAGCTTTTCATTAAACTCACGAACCTCCAGAAGTTCATTTACGAACCCCAGTTTGGGAAACCTTGACATAACGCAATGTTAAATGCACTTCATGTTGTTAATTACAACACATGGAATATATTTTCTTACTCTTTGTATTTTTATATCAATATGGTACAAGATTGTCCTATTAAAATCAATGTGGTAACAGAGTTAGGTCAAAACTAATCTAAAAGTAATCAAAAAGTAGTCTGATTACATTACCTAAAATGTGTAATGTAATGGATTATGTTACTAACTACAATTTTTGTCATGTAATTTGGATTCAGTAACGGACTACAATTTCTAAGTAATCTATCCAGCTCTTCCCATTTGCTTTATGAGCATTTAATCTCAAAACCATTGGCATTTATAAGGAACTGGTTGTTCCTTTGCTGTTATAACAGCTTCTACTCTTCAGGGATGGGTACCCAATAGATGTTGGAACATGGCTGTGAGGATTTATTCCCATTCAGACATTAGAGCATCAGGGATAGTGTTGGATATTGGGCATTGGAGTCTGGTTTGCAGGCCATGTTCCATTTCGTCCCAGTGCTGTTGAGATCTGGATTTGTGCAGGCTAGTCTGATTCTTCCACACTCAGTAGACTCAGTAGACCATTTTACTGGTGGCACTGGCATCATAAGCCAGTGTCATACTCAGGAGACTGTATGGCTGTATGATGGACTTTTATGTACCTTGGACATTCACACAAAGAATGCACAATTTTAAAATGCACAAATTCACATTATTTCTTATTTACATGTAATGCAGGCATTCCCAAACTTTTTTTTTGTCATCTGAACATCTTTCACCTAATATATTTACTTGAAGTACCATGAGATTTTAAAACAAATATTAAAAAAATTAAGTATCACATTTGCATGTTCATGGTTCTCTGCTGGTTAATGGTCTCATGACATGCAGGTAAACAAATAAAATATTTCATTTTTTTTTAGTGTTTTATTTTGATTGATGTTATTTTAAAATTACTTATTTTAATTTGACATTTTAATGATTTAATTAATTATTAGCTTTTCATTAAACTCACGAACCTCCAGAAGTTCATTTACGAACCCCAGTTTGGGAAACCTTGACATAACGCAATGTTAAATGCACTTCATGTTGTTAATTACAACACATGGAATATATTTTCTTACTCTTTGTATTTTTATATCAATATGGTACAAGATTGTCCTATTAAAATCAATGTGGTAACAGAGTTAGGTCAAAACTAATCTAAAAGTAATCAAAAAGTAGTCTGATTACATTACCTAAAATGTGTAATGTAATGGATTATGTTACTAACTACAATTTTTGTCATGTAATTTGGATTCAGTAACGGACTACAATTTCTAAGTAATCTATCCAGCTCTTCCCATTTGCTTTATGAGCATTTAATCTCAAAACCATTGGCATTTATAAGGAACTGGTTGTTCCTTTGCTGTTATAACAGCTTCTACTCTTCAGGGATGGGTACCCAATAGATGTTGGAACATGGCTGTGAGGATTTATTCCCATTCAGACATTAGAGCATCAGGGATAGTGTTGGATATTGGGCATTGGAGTCTGGTTTGCAGGCCATGTTCCATTTCGTCCCAGTGCTGTTGAGATCTGGATTTGTGCAGGCTAGTCTGATTCTTCCACACTCAGTAGACTCAGTAGACCATTTTACTGGTGGCACTGGCATCATAAGCCAGTGTCATACTCAGGAGACTGTATGGCTGTATGATGGACTTTTATGTACCTTTTAGCAGTGTAGCAGGGTGTGGCTGAAAGTGCTAAATTGTTTAATTATAAGGGGGCACATACTTTTGGCCACGTAACATCATAGGCAAATATTGCTACCTTGTGGATAAACTAATGGAGTAATACAGTTAGTAAATCTGGCTATGCTGATTATGAAATACCAGATACCAGAGTTGTGGTTATCTCATAAGCCCCTCTCTGTACATGTGCAGTATGCATGTATGATGATGAAATTTAAGTCATGCACACTGTACACATACCCTAAAGTACACGTATATTTTAGGGCTGAACTAACCAAGAACCTAATCGGTTTAGAACAGTAGTCTCATCATTAAACAAGTGTAACGACAGATCAAATAATAAAAATACTTGAATGGAAAAATAAATGAAAGGGCTTTTACATAAATAGTTCACATTGCTACTTTGAAACTTCAGAATGCCTTCCCCTATATACTTCTTTTGTAAGTGCATTACTGTAAACATATTTTTTGTTTGTTTTTGCAAATTGAGGGACGAGTCAAATTGTTTGGGGGGGGGTAATTGATAGCATTTCACATAATCAACAGAACATGTATTGACCTAGGCATATTCCTTGTCATTTTATGTACTCCTATTGAGCTGTAAATAGCACTCTAAGTAGCTTAGATTTGTATGTAGATTGTGCTACAGATTAATGGTGTGTGCATTTGATTTGTTTCTCCAAGATGAGTGGGAATCACGCTTCACGTTTCGACCTGTATCGGATCTTCCACCCCCAGAGCCCTACATTCCCTGTCAGAAGACCTATCCTAGCAAAATGGCCAGGAACGAAAGCCGAGGTAACCAACCACAGCTGTTTTCTCTCGTCTCATAGACGAAACTGACCCGCAGCTGTCGCTTCCACATGCCAATGAATACTTCGAATAACATTCAGTGCTTTCAGCACAATCATGGTCTTACCCATTTGTTTATGTGTCTGTATGTGTGTTTGTATATTTCGGTCTGTTTCAGGTTCAGGAAAGAAAGAGCGAGGTGCACCTCCCCTGCCTCCCATACCTAGGTGAAAGAAACTGTTGTCTCAGGGTCTGACAATCCTTCCCTCACCCAGTTATCTTATGTTCTCTGGTACTGTCTGTTTTTGATATTTTCTGCCAGAGTCATTCATTAAAAATTTATAAAAGAACTATAAAAATAACAACATATTACAGACAACATATCTTTTATAATATTTTGTTTTTGTCTGCTTTAGAGATTAATACATGATGGCTATTATGACTATGTCAAGTGATGAGCTCTACAGTGATACTACAGCTAAGTTTGACTTTATTTTTGAGTGTTTTTCTGAGTATGATGCGTTATTGCAGCAGTTCATTGGCCTTCAGGAGAGTGTGAATGTTTCGGCTTTTTGGCGGTCCTTGACACATACAGACAAATGTCCTTGTCTCATACAGAATATATCATTGCTTAATCAGGGCAGCCATTTCTTTAGATAATGGTGCAGCCATTTATAGAGCCACATAGGGCATCAGTATTTGTTAGACAGTCCTTGATGTAATTATATTTTTAAAGAAGTGCAACATTTACATTAAAGCATTTTGGTGCGTTTTGGCGCCCCCTACCTTCTTGTCTTCATACAACACAGTCGTTATATACAGTAGCATTGACATTTCAAGCCCTCAAATGTAAAAGTCACGTTAAATATTAAAGGAGTATGTGTTTGCTTTAGTACCTGTATGTGTGTATGTGTATGTGGTGATAAGGGCCAGAATGATATACAGAATACTAAAATCTGAGTTGCAGTTTGTCAGTACTCTATATGTTGCAGATTGATTTGTTCACATATGCAGTCCCTGATGTGAAAATAGCAAGGACTGAGTTTATGGGAAAATGTAGATGCCATTTATTAAAGATTCTTTAGATCATCCCCCATTTAAACAAGCCTGAGAGCAGACATTGTATAGGACTGATCTTTAAATGAAAGATGATTTGCCATAAAATCCTATGCAAGTGGGTTTCTGTGTATTATGAGATTGTATCTGTGTTGACGTACGACAAAAAGCCAAAAATGTGTTTAAGAAGTGTTATATTTTATGATATACGTATGTATGCACTTGCTTGTTTTGTTGATGTTTGCTCAGTATTATGTTGCCTTAAGGATATTTCTCAGATGTGTGCTGTTATATTTGCCTAAAGCACTTGACTAAAAGTATATTCAATAAGTGTATCATACCTTGAATTACATTTCATTTGTTTTCTTCATTTATATACTTTGAAAGAATCAAGAAGCCAAGCAATGGCTTGGTTTATGCTGCCTTATGTTTGTTTACATAAAGAGATGAATTACAAAGGCATTTTAATGATGCATTAAAAAGGAAAATTACAGTGATATATGCAATGTAGCATAACATCTGAAGCATCTTGAATTTATTAGAGAGAAGAGAGATGATTGCACAGCCAAAAAGAAACAATATTTGCCACCAACATTATTAGTAATACTAAAGGCCTCTGATTTATGTTCTGTTTGCACACGTCACTGACAGTGTTGTGTGACCCGATGCTTAATGTGGTACTTTAGATATTTTCTTTGTGCATGTAGATGCACATTTCAGTTTCATACAACATATTATGTTGTTTCATTTGTGTATTTACTTTATAACAAACAGTCTTCTGCTATTCTGGTGTGCCAAATATGTTGTTTTCTAAATAAATATGCAAGTGAAGCTGGATTTGTCCTTTCATTAAAATAACGCATTTCAGTATTCAGTTCTTTTTAAGCTCTTCTTGCATTTTCAGTAGACAACTTTAATGTATTTTGTAAGCATGTTCTTTATAATTTCAGTGCAATTTTATTTATTATTTGTGTGTGTGTGTGTGTGTGTGTGTGTATGTGTGTGTGTGT